AGAGCTCAGATTATGTTCCAAAGGAAATTCGCTACAAATTTTATAAAGGAAAAATTACAATTTTATCCTCATATTTTATTAAAATTAACTAGTATATGCTCGCCGTTTTAGAAATATATTATTTTGCTCTTAACATTTGGCTTCTTTAAACACTTATGCCATTCCGTCTAATTTTACTACTTTTACCGTTAAATATAATGTAAAAGACAAAATTGTCCTCTTCTTCTACATCTCAACCTCTTCCTCCACCATCTCAGTCCTTTAACCAGAAAAAAAAAACAGCAAAATTTCGGGAATTATACACCAAATAATGGCCACCTGAACTCAAAACAACCTTTCAAGTTACAACCCAACAAATAACAAGCTGCCGCTTATAAAAACAAAAGACTTGCTGCTGAGACCCAAAACGACAGTATACACCAAATAATGGCCACCTGAACTCAAAACAACCTTTCAAGTTACAACCCAACAAATAACAAGCTGCCGCTTATAAAAACAAAAGACTTGCTGCTGAGACCCAAAACGACAGCTGTATTCTCCAGACAGCTTGCAGAACACCAACTTTCACGGCGCCGGAGGTGATGGCACGGAGGGGTTACGAGGGTCCAAAAGTGGATTCATGGCCTTTTTCAATTTCTTTTCCAATTTCTTCAATTCAAAACCTTACCCAAGAAGAAGAGTTTAAAAAATTGATGCAATTCAATTCGAGTTCTTGTGAAGAAGCCAATATTTGTGTATATGCACATATATTTCTTTTTTTGATATACTCGGTAAATAATACTGTCAACGTAACCAAAGTGATTTCTATTATTAATTCAGATCATCCTCTCATTGTTTTTCTTTGCCTAGCAATAAAAATAGTAATTATTATTTTTCATTATAGTTATATTTAAATATTGATTTAGTGTTAAGGGCAGGGGTTGGAAATTGATTGATGACTTGATTTCCTTTTTGGAGACCTATTAAGACTTTAAAGATCCACATTTATAAATTAGGAACTAAAAAAGTAGGTCTAAGAAATGAGTTGAACTTTATTCTGAGACTATTTCATTATAAATAATTTATATGGTAAAATATAATATAAATTGAGCACTTATATTTATTTTAATATAAATAAAATTCATATTTTAATATTATATAGATAAAAAATAAATATATAACGAAGATCGTACAAAATACTAGTTTAAAAGAAAAGATTGAAATACATATGTATGAGCAACAAGTATTCAAACATCATAGAACTTAATCCGCCGCAATTTATCATTCACCAATCCCAACATCAACACTATTTTATATAATAAAATCACATTTCAAAATAAAAATAACCCATCAATATTTTTATCTTAAATTTTCTCATTTTTAATTCTTTATAACCATATCTATTTATATAATAAAATCACATTTCAAAATAAAAATAACCCATCAATATTTTTATCTTAAATTTTCTCATTTTTAATTCTTTATAACCATATCTATAATCTATAATTTATAATATATATAAAAGTATGAACGAGGAAAACATTGGATTCCTAAATGCGCATACTAAGTTTATAAACTGATAAAAATGTTATTACCGATCCTATTCTAATTATGGTATCAATTTATTATATTAATATTATAAATTTAATTCATTCTAATTAGGAACTTGTTCTATCATACCACTATATATATTTTCAGTTTTAATTGCTTTTGGTTATCAAGAATTTGTTGCTTTTGATTATCAAGAATTGTTACATCAAGCTTTTGCTAATTTGAAATTATTAAGTTTGCAATCATATCTTCTTCTGAGATAAGTATAATCTTAACTCTCTCTCTATTTATAAATTAATAGAATAGTTTTTATTTATAGTTCTTATAATTTAAATCTATAGATTAACTGTAATTGTTTAGTAATCAATTTTAAACTCTACTAGAATTAACTGTAATGTGTTTAGTAATCAATGAATAATTATAAATTAACTGTAATTGTTTAGTAATCATGAATAATTATAAACTTATAAGTTTTTATTCATGAATAGCATTATCATAAAATATCTTAAAGAGATAGACCCTCTAATTAGAGAAATTTTAATTTTATTTATCGATCAAAATTATATAATAATTTTAATTAGATTGATTATATTAGATTTCTTAATCATATTATTTTTACTAATTAACAAATCTTGTTCATTATTTTCCGCTGCCAAGAGTTGATAAAGGGTTCTATAAACGTGTTAGAAACGGAAGTTTTTCCGTTTCTAAAGATATAACACACTAGAAGTTTTCCCCTGAGAGTCTAGAAAGGGGTTAGCAACGGAAATTTTATCGTTGCCAAAGTTTTAACAAAAATTCTATTTAAATCTAAATTATATTAGAGGTTTAATCTAATTCTAAATAGGAAATTGACATATAGTATAGATTATATATATTTTTTATTCAATTTAAGAATTTTAAAATAAATAGTGTACTAATTATTGGTAACTATTTATTAATAAATACAATTTATTTTTAATGTTATATAATGAAAATTAAAAATTCTTTTATTTACTATATATATATTCCAATTCTTATTGATTTCAATTTACTTTTTTTTACTGAATTATGGAATTAATATGTGCCTATCTAAGGCTTAGCTTAGGGTTGAGTTTTTTAACTTTGCGTCTCAATCTTTCATCGTATGATTATAAAATAATAGATATTTCATCGAAAAAGTAAGAGTTGGTATTTATAGCCTTAACACCAATTCTTAGAAAAGCATTAGTTTTACTAATAATACTCCTTCTTCTTGTTTTTATTTGAATTGTTTTATTCATTGGTCCATTAAATTTATGAGTCTTCTCAAAAAGAACATGTCAAATTATTTGATTTTTGGCAATTTGCGATAACTTTAATACTTGATTTTAGTTTTTGATTCATGGTTGTTTTCTTTCTTTCTTTCTTTTTTTTTTTTTTTTAATTTTTGATTTTTTTCTGATTGGTTAAAAATTGTATATATAACTTACAGATACATATTATAGATATAATATTTGCAATTAGATGTACTTTGGTCACGTAATTAGCTAAATATTACAGTTTTTATCATATAATTTTATTTATGAATTTTTTATTATAATTAAATATTATATTTTATATATTAAAATACAACGAACAAATAATAATATGCAAAGTACGCTTTTACATGATAATAAGAGTCAAATAAAATGTTCAACAAAAAATAATTTTCAAAAATTTTTTATTTAACTAAAATTTCATATTTATATATTGTAAATAAATGAAATTCAATACAATTAAATCTAATTTTATTATTAGTAACTCCTTAATGTAGAATTCTAAGTTTTTTTTTTTAAAAAAAAAATATAATTCTAAGTTTCTAACAATTATAAAAATCAAAAAGAAGAGATAATTAAAATGTCTAATAAAAAAGGGTTGTTAGTTTGGTCAGAGAAATATTAATATCTCAGTTTCTGATTTAACCCCTGATTTATTAATGAATATCAAAAATTCAGATTTTCTAGAATGAACTAATCATAACGGCATCATTATTGTCATCTGTAATCACCAAAAACATATTAAAAGAGTGAAAAATTTCTAGATCTGAACTAATCGATACGCGCATCATTATTGGGTTCATCCTGTAAGATCAAACCAAAAACAATATTAAAGGAGTGGGAAAAATTATATATATATATATATATATATATATACTATATATATATATATATATATATATATAATATAATATATGTATGTATTTATACAAAAATTCTATATTTCTACTAAAATGATATTGACTATTATATATATATAGTAAGGATGTAATTATTTTTAAAGATTAATTTTATAGATTGAAAAAAAAAAGAACAGTAATTAATTTTGATTACGTATAGTTAATATACCTATTTAAATTTAAAATCTTATTCAATCAAAAAAATTTTATTATAACTTGTATTATACAAAAATTATATTTTACAAAAATGATATTATATTATATATATATAGTAAGGATGTAATATTTTTAAAGATTAATTTTATAGATTGAAAAAAAAGAAAGTAATTAATTTTGATTAGTATATTAATATCCTATTTAAATTTAAAATCTATTCAATCAAAAAATTTTATTATATTCGAAATAAGATATATTATTTTTTAAAAAATATATATTAAATACAGTAAGAATATAACATTTTTAATAATTTTAATTTTTTGATTGAAAAAATAAAAGTAATTTAATTTTGATTGATATATTATACTATATAAGGTATATATTAAATATGTTAGGAATATAATATGTTTAATTATTATTTTTAATAAAATTTTAATTTCCTGCAAGTAACTTGTTCTACAAAAAAAATTAAACATGATTTATTATTATTTAGTTAGAAATATATTATAAGATTTTTTATTTGATATAAAATAGAAAATAAAACTCAGTAGAAATATACAAAATTATGAGATAACTCGTTATATTAGCAAATCATATAACACAATTTTTTTCTCAAAAAAAGCAACCATAAAATTAATTATATGGAAGCTAATAGCCTTGATTTCTGGTAATTTAGTAATATAGATAGTTTATGATACTAAATTATATACGAAAAATAAATTAATTAAATTTAAATTGTTGTAAAAAAATAAAATTGGTTAAAAAGTAATATTATTTTCATGAAAATAATATTGCATAATAATATCTTTATCATTAAATATGTTCTTTCGTTAATAAGTTATTTAATTTTTTAATTTTTAATTTATTATTTTCATAAAATGTTTCTTATATTTTTAGTAATATAAATTGTTCATAATATCTTCAAGATGGAAAAATCGCCTTACATTTTAGCAATTTGTAATTTTTTTTTCTAAATTAGTTAAAAAAATGAAATTGATTAATCTATAACAATATTACGTGGTATAGATAATTTATAATAAACATAGTAGAAAATTATATATAAAAATTGAATTACAACAACGCATTCAAAAAACCAGTTAAAAAGAATAAGTATGAATTAAACAATTTCTAAATCAAGTTTAACGGTAATTAACTATTCACTGCCATCACAATCCGTTTACTTTACAAATAACTAACTCAAGCTGTTCTAAGGTCGGAAAAGTCCCGATAACTTCATTTTCTATGAATTTCGGCTCCACAATCTAATTTTTCAATTTGCATCAATTATTAAATCAAGGGTCAATTACTATCTGATCGCAACACTAATTACATATTCTGAATCTGATCGGAAAATAGCTGTCGGCCGCCGTTCACGGTGGGCGAGAAAAGTCAACTACACCCAAATTTAGCAAATCATACATCAGAAAGTTCGTCTCAGAGCAAGTATAACGAATGTGATGTTATTTTAGCATGGGCATTTATCGATTGACCGGAAATCGGCCGGCCACCTTTTGGGAATTTCCGATTCCGTCAATAATAATCATGATTGAAGCCATCAAATTGAAGAGGCAGGCGAGAGGAGTTGATTCGTCAATAATATTTTGTTTCATAGTAACAATAAGAATAATATATTATTGCAACCTCAATAAAACCCTAGTTTATAATTTGCTACAGGATTATAAATTAGAGAGTACAAGCAGTCTAATTAATCATTAGCAAAGAAAAGGTAAGAAAAGGGGTTGATGGAGTTTATATTTTCAATTTTCCTGCACCGCATATGTATTAGTCTTAACCTTATTACCTGATAATTTTATAAACTCAACTGCAGCAATAAGAGCATTGACAGAAGCCAGAGGACTGAAGCTCGTCTCAGCCAGCTTTAGTTCTCCACCAGCTAAATCCGATACCCCGCGAAACACAACACAAGGCACTCCATTTGACAGAGAAGCATTAAAATCCATTGAAAATTATAATGATTATGATTAATTTTACAATTTTAATTATGTATTTGTGAACTTTTCTACTTGGTTAATTTAATAAAAGAAGATCTTACTAACCATGACGATAGCTGCACTCTCTTCATCTACTGTTGAGACACTGAATTGTTTGAAAAGAAAATCTCTGTACCCTGCATTGTCAACGAATATATCAGCAGTGCAGCCTCTTAATCCAAACACTACTTTTGGTGCTTCTGCCAAACAATAGGTGTCGTTTACACATCGTTCTAAATTTATTTCCTGCAGAATTGGATGTAATAATTAATAAATAAACACATATATACTGCGAAATGTCAAAAATATTCTTACGAGAATATTTTAGGTTTAGGTTTGAAGATCGAGTTTCGGTTTCTAGTACAATGTGTTGAATCAGGAAAATGGCAAACCTGAAGTTGAGAAGCAATGTTAAACCATTTTGAGTTTATTGGAAGCCAAAACATCTCCTCCATTGATTTTCCAATCGAAAAAACCTGTGTTGGTGTGAATTCTATCTTTGCTAATAAATTTTCTCCTTTTCCTGGAAAATCAAAGTCTCCAAATTTTAGTTCTGGCAATTTCCCTGTCCCTGACTTGAACTCCTGCACTTCCCAAGTGGATTAAAGGCAAGTAGAAGAAAATTGAAAATTAAAGAAAATGAAGATCGAAAAGTTTTACCTTCCATTTCCAAGAACTCGTAAAGGCAACGTAGTTGGAACACTCACATCAGCAATAGGTAATGAAGCATTAACACTTTCTGCTGTTCCGTAATGAACTATTCCTTCAATTTCAAATGTACCAGCAAGTATTTGTACTGTTATGCCTGCATTTAACTAAATTTACCCTAACAATTGTAAGAGATTGGAGAAAATTGACAGAAAATGTAAAGAAATCAACAGATTATATATTTGGTGGAAGGTTTAGATTTGATCCAGTTTACATTGCTTTAGTTAAACTTTATTAACCATGCATATTAATTAGGAATTTAGAATTTAGAAAGAATGATAAAAAGGCAATTAAGGTAATTTTAAACTGTATATATAAAAAAAAAGTAAAGAGAGTGACGAATGGAATCTTGCAATTTGCTTCCCAGTCATCACATAAATTATATCAATGCCACCAATCTTCCCATTGTCGAATCTTCTTCCTAATCAGAAACCATATTGTATATTCAACCACACAACCTATACATACCATCTTGATTCACAATCAAGCGCAATAGAATTGATAGTATTTGTGTTGTTGATTAAAAATTGATTCACATCTTGTGTTATTTTGTTAGTGTTAGGGATGAAGAAACCAGAGCGAAGAAGTGCCCTTTCATCAGTAGGGTAAGCCATAACTAACCCAATATATGGTCCTCCAATTTCATTCACTTTATCCACTACTCCGCGCATAGGATGCTTCAACCTCAGCTCTACACTGCATTCTGCCATAAGCAGTAGATGTTAAGAATTAATCTCAAATAATTCCACAATAACCTAGATCATGCACACCACTAGATTCAACAAAATAGATTGAATAAGAAAAGGTTGTGTACCTGACATCACTAGCTCTACACTGCATTCTTGCCCATAAGCAGTAGTGTTAAGAATTATTCAAAATAATTCCACAATAACCTAGATCATGCACACCACTAGATTCAAACCAAAATAGTATTGAAATAAGAAAAGGTTGTGTACTGAACATCGTTGTTCGTCGATCTTGGATCGTGTAGAATTAGGTTTGGGGCAGCCTTCCAGAGAATTGAAAGATCGATTTTGGCGGAAGCAGAACGCAAAAGGACACGTAAAACTGCAACTCGTATTCAACTCCTCTGGGGACCTACGACCTTATATACCTGTAGGTTAGTACAATTCCCTATTTCGGTCTTTAACGAAATAGCGAATTATATAATGGTCTCTACACCTTAAATATCTATAAATTAGTTGATACCTCAATAGTACAATTATTCAGCATCAACAGACCAACATTTGAAATTGACTTTACAATTGGACTCTGTACAATATTTATTTTACATATTAAGGCCGCACAATAGAATTAAATCGCAACAATCTCCCACTTGGCGAAATATGTTTAAATAAATACAATACCACCAAAATGACCAAACAATACGCAGTCATAACAAGGTATGCCGCAAAAACAATCTCGTCCATCTGTTTTTATACTTGCATAAAGAGGCTGAAGAAACATTCGCCAATAAAGGATCTCATGACTTAAGTTCAATCATCAAACTACAATTACCCAATACCCCTAAATGACATAGATTCCATTTATACGAAGTGTTAGCATGAAAAACTACATGTAATGTGATCAATCAATGTCTGTTTCCAAACTGGTGCACCAACCAAAAGTGAGATCAAACAATAATAATAATACAGAGTGTAACCATCAACCAAAATGAGTACTCAACAAAATTTCATGATAAAACATATCCAAAACAAAATAGAGCATTCAAAACCATAATGTATACATAAAGAGCAGACTCCCACTAAAACTAGACAGTCTCAAACAAAACGATACCCATATGAGCGGTGTGCTCATGGAAAACTTTCGGTATCACTGCCTTTGCAAGCGGATCCGCAATCATAGAGTTTGTTCCAATATGCTCTAAGGATATCTGTCCACTCTGTACCCTCTCCTTCACAGCCAAGAACTTAATCTCAATGTATGTGTTTTGATCGAGAAGAGCTCCTGTTGTTGTTGGAGAATAAAACGACTGACCTGCTGTCACAATACAACTTCAGTGGTCTTTCTATTCCACCTACTACACGCAGCCCAGTGACAAGGTTTCTCAACCAAATAGCTTGATTGGATGCCTCATAAGATGCTACAAATTCAGCTTCCATGGTGGAGGTTGCTACCAACAGAGTTTTGTTTCACACACTCTTCCAAGAAAATGGCACCGTCCCAGCCATAGAAAAAACTAGCCAATGGGATTTTCTACCTGTCTTTGGCATCCATGCGAAATCAGAATCAAGTATACCTCAAGTGATCTCCCTGATGCTGATCGTCCTATAGTGAGCATAGTCCCCTTTAGTCGCCTTCTGAATAAGTATCTCGAATTGACTCTTTTGTGCTCTGTTCCAATGATGCCATTTCTGGATTGCTGAAGAATACACCTAAACATTTCAAAACTATAAGAAAGAAGAATTGTCTGTGACCGAGTATCATAACAACTGAACAAACAATAAGACTTCCCTACTAGAGCTGACGCATAAGGAACCTTTTGGCATTTCCTGACATTTCAAGTCACTCTTTGGACATTGGTCTGATTTGAAACTTAAAAAAAATTTAAACTTCCGACCCGTGTGTTTTTTTGCCCCTCCCCCCCAATTAAAAGGGGGATTTAAATAGAAGAATAAAGAAAAAAAAAAATCCAATGGTCTAGAGATCTCGCATACTAGCAATATCTTTGAGCAACTTATCAACAAGCTTCTTTGTGATAATCCCAAGAATACCTCGAGAACGTCCGAATGTAAGTCTAAAGTCCCGAAACAAAAAAGCTTCACAAATCTTTCATCTCAAAAGCTTTTGAAGAAAAACTTTGTCTTCATGACAGAACTGTTAAACAATTATAAGCAAGAAGTATTCATTTCCCACATATAAGACCAAAAAATAAACTAACTCCCACTGACTTATGTACATACAAATTTTCAACAGATTTTGCCTCAAAGCCAAACGAGACAATTACTTAGTTGAACTTAAAGTACCATTGACGAGAAGCTCGCTTGAGTCCATAAATGGATTTCTTTAATTTGCATACCAGATGTTTTGGATCTCCAATTACAAAATTTTCTGGTTGCACCATATATATTGTTTCATCAATGTTGCCATTGAGAAACGTAGTCTTAACATCTATTTGATGAAGCTCAAGATCAAGATTTGCAACTAAGTCCATGATTGTCCTAAAAGAATCCTTCGAAGAAACTGGAGAGAAGGTTTCTTTATAGTCAGTCCCTTCCTTTTGAGTAAAGCCTTTTGCTACAAGACGTGCGTTATATCTTTCCACATTACCTTGAGAATCCCTTTTGGTTTTAAATATCCATTTGCAACCAATGGGTTTCTTTCCTTCAGGTAATTGAACAAGATCCCAAACTTTGATTTAAATTATCCATATTGCAGAATACCATTAGCTTCCGCGATACTTCTGCATAACACGCCACGAACATACCAGCGTCAGACGCAGCACACACCACTCTCACGCTCGCTATGGTTACGAACAGCATATGTAATAGATCGAGAGCAACCCAGACTATATATATGATTATATATATAGCATCTCAAGAGGAGGGCGGAAGAGACACATCGTAGGTGGAGCATACGAGCAGAACCGTGACCAAGACAGTAGAGCATATATAGACTAGTACGTATCAGGCATGATCGAGCATATACTCATACATCGTGGCGTAGAGAAGACACAGCATAATCTCGATTATAACTGAGGACCAGAGCCGCACCAGCGAGAGCACTCCTCAAGATACATAAGAGCCCTAATGTCTGAGGTTGTGAATTTTGTTCTGAGGAAGGGAGAAAGCTTCTGTCTCACAGTATGCACATACTCTGCGATATATGAATCCGCTAGGGTGCGAGATAGGATGACGAGTGTATATATCAGACTATCGGAGACACTTTCAGATCGCCCCATCAGACATTAGGCAGAATTAACAGAGATGAACTCAGAGACTAGTCCGTCACCCAGCTGCGCTTGGACGTTTATGTTGCGCAAAAGAGCGAGATACAGTCATAGTAGTACATAGCAGTTTATAATTTAGATGTGAGTATCCGTGGAAACCTGGGGATGATTCAGACCAGCACAGCCTCAAAAAAATGGCATGGTAATGTCGGTCGATTATCTGATGAATGACAATATTCATAGTGGCGCACAGTCGAGAGCGGAGAAGAGAGAGCGTCTAGGTCTGCTCGGGTGTGCGTCAGGAGGGGGCTGGCTGCAGAATATCCAACAAAGGTAAATATTTCTGGATAATAAGGTTTTTTTTTGGGGAAAGTCCCCCCAAAAATAAAGTTGTTGGTTTTCCATTCCGGGCTTGTAAGCCCTGCTTCAGCTGGACATACCCCAAACCATGAAGATGCTTTAAGACTGAGGCTTACTCCATCAAAGTTCATAAGTTTGTTTAGCACTGCTTTAAGATGTGAATCCTATTGATGAAAAGATAAGCCGTGTCTTTTAACGCTTCACTCCAACAGAGACTCTGTAAAAAGTAGAATAGCTAATCATACTCCTTACACATAGTCGCATTAAGAGTCCTATTAAAGTCTCTCAATACACCATTCAATGCTTGGGAGACCAAGGCAATGTAAATATCGAGGGACAATTCACATTCCTGTGGAAAAGCCAAAAGGTCCTCGGACGTGTTTCGCCTGAACGCGTCATATTACCAATATATCAGTTCACCACCCACGTCAAGATTCGAACAATTTTAATCTTCTTTCCTAGTGTTGATTTTCACCGTCCGGCTTTATAAGATTTTAAAACACGTCGCAAAAGACTCGAATTTTTCAGAATGAGATATAATAACCATAACGAGAATATTTAGTCAATGAAATGATTAAATCTTTGGCCATTTCTAGCTGCAATATGGAATGGACCGCAAATATCTGTATGAATCAGTTCTAAAACATTGGATGACCGAATGGCACCTAGTCTCTTCTGTTTAGTCTGTTTTCCTTTAATACACTCAATACAAGAATCCAAACCTGTGTAATCAAGTGTATCTAAGATACCATCAGAAACAAGACGCTCAATCCTTGATTTGGATACATGACCCAAACGTCTATGCCAAAGTACAACTGAGTTATCAATATTCAATTTTCTTTTGGTACCTCTTGTAGTAACATGCAGGGATTCATGATAACTAGTATCAATGTCTAACATATATAGATTATCACATTCATTCAAGCAACCAGATTCAAGCAACCCAGTACGCACAAAACTTTTGAAGCTCATAGATAAACGTTGAATACACTTTTTCTCTCACTCAAGTAAGTCCACTTATAATCCCATTCTACCCCAACCGGGTTTGGTTCAACTCGACTCGACTCGACTCGACTCTAAGACTCGACTCGGTAGGATGTCACAGTATCGTTTATAATTTATTTAAACATAATCTAAAATGTCCAATTGCCTCTACTTCAACCGGATCGCCATTTCCTACATAGACGTATCTTTCACCGTCAGTTGGCTTTCTGTAGTTGAGGCAGCCCTACAACGAAACACCTATATGAGCGGTAGCACCAGAATCCATCCAATAAGTGTTTTTAGGAGCTAAAGAAGCATTTTGGCACATAAGGCTTCTTTTGTACTGGATCTACAGCAGTAGCAACAGCAGGTTTCTCAATAGCCTTTTCAACAGTCTTTGCAGAAGGCCTCTTTCTTTTCTTGTTCTTGCCCTTCTCAGCTGAAGAAACAAAATGAGCACTCTCTCTTTTGTTAGAATTCATCTTTTCCTCCTCATCAACACAATGAGAAATGAGCTCGTTAAGAGTCCATTAGAGTCCATTTTATCGGACTTGGAGCAATATATGGAAGTCGCTAATTTGTCCCATACTGAGAAGAAGAGAATTCATTAAACATGATGGACTAAAAGGTCATCTGTAAAGCATACCCAGCGCCTTCATCCTTGCATCTGAGACAATGTCTAAAAATATGCTCCGAACACCACCCATTTGCCGAAGCAAACTTCGATGGAAGGTTAAATTTTCCCTAAAAATGGTCCCACTTCGGCTTGTCATCTTGAATAAGCCCTCTCGACAAGCCGGCAAGATTATTTTTTGTAGCATTGTCCTTTTCAAGGCTGAGACAGAGTCTCGAACATTGTTCTTGGGACTGCCTTTCTGCATGATCATCAGAACCAACGATTAGAAACGCCTCCACTCTCAATACTGAAGACCCTTTAAACATCAGTGCTCTATCAGTAAGAAGAGGAGCAGGTTCGTCCATCCTGAATGCAAGATCCAAATCCATACAGCCCAGAAAGATCATAATGTCTGATTTCCAAGACTCAAAATTTGATCCCTTAAGTTTAGGGACACAATCAGGATTAAATGACATGTTAGCTGACATCAGAGAAAATAAACAAATAGATAAGTATAAGCTCACAATTCACAAATGAAACAATTCACATAAGTAGAGATAAAAATGGAAATAAGATACAGACTCAACATTAATATTCTCATCTTTGGATGTAAAATATTCACTTGTAATTAGTATCTCAACGCAGCAATCAAATATTGATAACATAGTCCTGACAAATAATAAATCTTCCTTTGGACCGATATATCATTGTCATGGAAAATAATCAAACAATTATCACATACTTATTGCTTTTATTGCCAAACATGTAATTCAAAAACCAAGCCAGATAACAAAACTTCCTGCCATAACTATCCGCAACGAATTCTAATAACAACCTGTTCTAATATTCTAAAATAAATCAATTCAAGCAATAGAGGTCAAACTTTGGTGACTTATTGATCAAATCAATTTATTTAACAAATATCAAACACAAAAGGGACTTAATCACTCCAAAATTTAATTCCAAAGTCGACAAATTAATTCATAATGTAATAAAAACAAACAAAATGCAATTAAATGAATTGATTGCTAAAAATTTAATAAATCTAAAATTATTTAGCGCCAAAAAAATATATAATCTAGTCTTTAAGTCACAAATTTGAGACTAAAATTAAAATAGGAACAAAATAAATTGAATAATAAAAGTTCAGGTCTAGTCGAAAGAAAACAAAAATTAAAGCCTAATCTGGATTCAAAAATTTAGGCCTAAATCTAAATTACAGAAAAATTTAGGGCCTAATGCTGAATTACAGAAAATACGGCCCTAATCGAAGTACAGAAAAATTTAGGCTACATCTGAAGTTATCAGAAAATTAGGGTCCTAACGGAAGTTACAGGAATTTAGGGACGCTAATACGAAATTTCCAGGGACCAAAACCGTTAAAATTTTCATCCTAACCTTAAAACCAACAAGAGACCGGAAACCCTTCCGCCACTCTCTTCAAAAAACCTATACCTTTTGTTTGTTTTATTTTTTTTTTTTTTTTTTTTTAAACCAACGCATCCGGCCACAAAAAAACAAACAAAATACCAACGAACAATAATCGTCAATGCGTTAGTTCAAACCTCTTAACTTCTGGAGAATCCGAAGAAACAGTGAGAACAAAATTTTTTTTTTTTTTTATTAAACAAAACCTCAATGCGTAAATAGTAGCGGGTAAACAAATAAAACAGTCGAAAACTCAAATCTAAAAAATCTACAATATCATCAAGGCTCTGATAGCACTTGTTTAAGAATTTAATCCAATAATCCATCAATAACGCTAGATCAATGCACACCACTAGATTCAAACAAAATAAGATTGAATAAGAAAAGGTCGTACCTGACATCGTTGTTCAGTGTTTCGATCTTGGATGTGTAGAATTAAGTTGCAGACTTCCCAGAGAATTGAAGAATCCGATTTTGGCGGAAAGCAGTACGAAAGGAACGTAAAAATGAATCATTCACCCCTCTGGGGACCACACCCTTTATATAACCTGTAGGGTATACAATCCTATTTCGGTCTTTAACGAAAAGGATTATATAATGTCTCTACACTTAATATCTATAAAGTTGATACCTCAAAGTCAAATAGCACAAAATCAAGAAAAACCACATTGAAATTGACTTTACAATTGGACTGGCTGACAATATTTGAATTTTACATATAAGCCCTAATATAGAAACATTTGAAATTGACTTTACAATTGGACTGCTGTACATATTTAATTTTACATATTAAGCCCACAATAGAAAATTAAATCCAACAGTAGAACGATCACCAGTGCTTTCAAATCAACGGCCCATATTTGCCTTTGCCGTTTCATCAAAGCCGTCCAACACCGTTGAATCATGCTTATGTAACGATGGCGACGAGAATATTGGTTATTAAGGATTGATCTCCCAAAATGTAGGAGAAAGATAAAAGAGAAGAAGTGTATGGGGCAGATGATGAATGAAAGAAGAGCAGACAGACAGAGTAGTTGCTTGTTAGAGCAAGTGGTTGATCTGTCTAAGCATTTGCTTGTTGTAGTAGTAAATGGTCATGTGCTATGGAGTGCAAGCAGGACACTTGAAATTATAATATTCATTACTCAATTATTTAATATGTATGTATAAAGAGTATATAGTTTTAGATTTAATACCAAATTCTCCAAGCATGAGCATTAGAGCAAGAAAACGAAACTCACGAAGGAGTTCAATTTTATCGTTTGACCTTTCTCTAGATAAAATGAAACTGGCCATTACATGTAGGAAAACTTGTTTTGAATTCTAGAGGGCCAAAAAACAAAAGAAAAAAAGAACTGTGTCCATCCTTCCCTTGTAACTAAAAATCAGTCTACATAGTTCACTATGTTTAAAAATAAGGGGGGAAAAATTTTCAGTTAGTGCACAACTCATAACCATTCACCAAGAATCATTACAGAATCTTCCTCATCATCAGAAATTTAATAGTTGCAAATTTGAGAGACCAATGATCAAGAATTACTGGCTAAGGCTTGCATAGCCAATTTCATGAATGTGGAACTTGAGCTGCCCATAAAATCTTCGGAAAACTGTACCACTTGGGTTGTTCTTGTAGGTCATTCACTCCAATGCAGAAGTCTCTATAAAAGCTTCAGTCCGCCCGTCACATCATCGACCACTTCTACCGGTCCTGCACATATGTAGGAGCGTTGGGGGAACATTCAGTAAACTCTTTAAAATGTAAATCTGTAAACCTGATAATTTTAGTTTGTATTTAATTTTTCCATTTTTTGCAGATAACAAGAATTCAGAGCACTGAACCAAACACCCTGAATTCCAAGTCCGATGCAGTCACTTCGGAAGCAAGGTTACATTTTGTTATTTGAGCGACAATTCCAGTTTAGAATTTTCATGAAACTGAGGGCTTTCTACAATCAGCTCGGTTAGATCAGAGGGCATAACCCATTGGGATTGGGAATCTTACCCAGAATAGCCATCACTGTTCTTGAATCTGAAACAAAAACATAAATTTTAGCACCAAGTTAATTGAAGAAAAACATAAAACTCCCAAAGCTATATTGCATGGATAATTTTGTAGATGAGCATACGAAATGTGTATCTGGAAAATGACCAGTCCACAGCCCAAAAAAGAAACCGAACGGAGGGAAAGCCTGTGCTTTAAGAAAGCATGCTTATCCCACTCATTCTTGTGTTCCGATGTGTAATAGAGCTCAGCCACCACTTTACAAAATTAGTTGTTTGAAGTTCACAATCCTATTTCTTCTTTTTGGCCACTGAATTCATTCTTCCAAATTCCAATATTATTAAAAATACAGAAGCATATGGTAGTAACCACAAAAAAAAAAAAAAAGCATATGGTAGTAACACAAAAAAAAAAATATATATATATATATATATATTATATATATATATATAGAAGCAGCTAATCTTATATTATCATCCAAATTAATTACAAATGATAACCATGCTCCAGCCTAGATAACTTTTTAACAGCTAATATAACCAAGATTTTAGCATATGACCACAACGATTATAATTAATTCTTGCCTATTTAAGGTTTGGGAGACTTCACTAGCTAGTTCCTAATTTCTTAGCAAAAATCTCATAAGCTTCACAGTATGCTTCTTTAAACCATTTCCAGCAGTTCCTTGTAGATTCTTCCTTTTGAAGACCCCACTTTCAACTTTTACTTCTCACACTCCACAAAATAGCTTTTTTTTTTTTTTTTTTTTAGTTTTCTTCTTTCGCCCCTTCATACATATATATATATTATATATATATATATATATATTTACCAAACTCATTCTCAAGCATATGTTTCATAAAAAATAGATATAAAAATACTCCAACAAAGCCAAGTCCTACTCAGCTCGGCGGAAAAAAATTTTGGAAAACGGGATAAAATATATATATCTTACCAAACTCATTCTCAAGCTATGTTTCATAAAAAAAATAGATATAAAAATTACTCCAACAAAGTCCAAGTCCTAAATAGACACCCATTCAGAAGAGGAGGAGAAAAGGAAAAGCAGAGGTGGGCTGTTTGACCAAAACTGAGTAATTAAGGAAATCAGCTTTGCAACTCACTTGGCGCAATCTGCGTTCTCCCAGCATCTATGGTAATATGGGTTGGCAATTTAAGTGATTTTGCTCTCTCCTGCCAAAGTTGGATAATACATGTTGGGTAAACAAAGCAGATAAATGTAAGTAACAAAGTAGAAACGTCAAACTGGAAAATAATTTGAAGGACATCTCTGTCAATGAAGTTTCAAAACTAATACGAATTTGACCAATATTTTGCAAATATTAATATCAATAAACTTATTGATGTTAAAAAGGACTACTCAAGAACAATCCTCATGATGAGCATATATACTGGACAACAGTGCCAATACTTTAAAAGGTTTGAAAGCAAGAGACAAAAAAATGTACGAACTCAGTGAAATAGACAGAGGAATTGAATAATTACATGGACCGCAATAAACGAGGAGAATAACAAAGTACCAAACATATCAATGTCTGTTTAATTGCTATCACCCCAACTCCCCCGCCCCCTTCCCCCAACCACAAACGCCACGAGTAAAAACTAAATGAATAAATAAAAAAGACAAAGAACAAGATTAACAAGAGCGGATAATTTAGTAACACTAAAAAGAGAGTGCAGTATATGATATATAAAGTATAAATACCAAGGATGTATAAAGGGTTTTAGATTATGTTACTATTAGCTACCATGACATTATCACAAGAATTCTATGAAATACTGACTTGCAAAACAAGCATATCCTCCTCGCTTTCAATTTTCACAACCACCTTCGGTTGTGCACACATCTCCCACCTGAATATTCACAAAAGCTTTAAAACTGGAATAAGAAACAAAAGAAATATGCAGGGTTTGCACTAGAATTAGGGTGAGGAAGTACCTGTTCAAAGCTTTTGGCGCTCGATGGAGTAGCTTCTTATATAGTCCTAAAGTTGCATGACTGGCCAATAAAGATAAAGTTTTGATCATGAATTCAAATAAGATACAGTTCAATAACAGAAGGAAAGAAAAGCAACATAATAATCAACCAGGCACCATAAGTGTCTCCTTGAATAGTACTAACTTCTGAAGGAAGAAAGGTTGAGAACATCATCACATAATGTTGGGCCAAATAGGATCTCTCTTATAGTGTCAGAAAATAAGAAGATCCAACAGTCATAGAAACGTAAACATTCGGAAAAGCCTGGATTAATAGACAACAGGAACATGGAAAAGGATAACATTTCTGTTAAAAAAAAAAAAATTCAGATTAGCACCTCCAACTGCAAGCCAAAAATCACCTCCAACTCCAATCCAAATATCAGCACTCTTTCAGCAGATGAATAAATTAGGAGAGGGATTTAACATTAACCAGTAATCTCAGAACTCACTCAACTGGACTTCTTAGACTGAAATTCATGGTACTTCAATTAACATCCAACAGAGTGGTAAAAGATATGATCCCAGGACAGTGCAGACTAGCAACCCCTTTCTGCTTCAGCTAGACAGCTCATAACTACCATATATGGCACATGGCTCAATGCTACTCTCCATAAGTTCAATGCAACATAAACATTCCAGTAGTGCTTGCTCTCAGACAATATACGCAGTTTCCCAAACAATAAGTTAGTTCTTACAACTTATTGTGGCAGTTAGAGATCTCCATCTCTTCCGATTTACATGTGGAAGACATTTGGCCTCAGAAAAGAAGCATATAGTCACTAAGAAAGAAAATCAATCTCAAAGTATTTATTATCAACCAGATAATCTTTCAGTCAAGCACCTAACAAAAAATAAGCTATTCTAATGGTCCCAATACCCCCAACAAATGGCAGTGCCAAAACCAGAACTAAAACTAATCTGCAGTGATAGGCAGTTCTCACTTGTCAGTAATTTAAAAGACTGTTAAATATGTTCAAACAAACAAGGGGGGAAAAAGTCCACTGTTGAGAATTGTTAACCTAAAAACATGTTCATGAACTAGATATTGTTTTAAAGGGATACCTGCATTGGGCCGCGATTTTCCCTTTTCCCATCTTAAGATCATTTCTAACAACCAATACCTGTAAAAAATAGACGAAAAAATAAACATAGATAAGAAACAGAATATATATACTTCTCATAAATTCAAAAGGATATTTACCATTTTGAAATCATCGAGAATATCAGCGAGCTTCTCAATTTCAAGGGGTTCTTTAGACTTTTTTTTCTCATTTCCTTTACCAAAGTTAGCATCCTTAACAACTTTAGCTCTAAGAAAGATAAAAGCAGGACGGCGAGAGCCGATGCAGTAACCCAAAGCAAGGCAGCCAGCCCCAACCAAAATGGCGCTAAGCCACCCCAAATCCATCAAATTCAATTCAAAACCAGACAAGAATCAGTGATTTCTTCCAATAAAAACTCTGCCTAAAACACTCAGATCGTCAACCCTGAAAGATTTCAAACCTCAGCAGAAAAAAGAATTTGAAGAAAGGAACGTAATTAATAGTAGAATGGAATCACTAAATCAGTAGCACATAAATTGAAATGGGTTCGTCCTCTTCGACTACTCGATAAGCACTCAAACAACTAACCTAGATACTATGCAACAGCTAACAACTGGTATGGATTTGTTTCTAAACCGAGTTGCCACGAACCGCTCACAATCACATCAAGAAAATTAAATTGGACCAATCAAATCAAACCGGCCAGACTTTAACCATATTGTGTTCGATTCACTGGTTCAATTTTTATATTGCATTGTCTTTGAATGTGTGGCACAATTATTAAACTTACCGTATTCGTACTAATCCTAATCGCGTTGCACGTTAGACGGATTCATGTTGAATCCGACGCACCAATCCATTTTCAGAGTGGGCAAATGGTCTATTAGGTTCTAATCAAACCAAACTAAGATCCAAAAATAAAACCAAATTCTTAGACAACAACTTGAACCGTAAGTATTTGAATCAAACCAATCAGTTCGGTAATTTTGGTCTACTTGTTGCCATATCGATTTGATTTTAATTTCAAATAATAAATTTCTACGACACTGATTCGAACCAAATAACATATTGAGTTCAAATCAAATAAACCAATAAATCAAATTTCCGTTGAATAGTTGATCAAGCTGAACTAAAATCAAATTTGATTCGGTCAATAGTTTTTCACACCCATGCCCATTTTTGACACCCCCACTTTTTTTTTTTTTTGACATGGATCATGGATGGAAACATCAAACATACCGGCCCAAACAAACTATATCGTTCTAATGAAATAAATGAAAATATTTGAGCAATCAAATGCCGGCCCAACACGATATATATAAAAATAATTCAGAATTTAGTTTTTTATACTAATATTATTTCAAAACTATGGAACAACATAAAAATAAAACTGCTTCTTAATTTGGCTATGTTCATGATTATAATTACATGCTTATTTTTCATTGCCTGATCTATCATTGCTTGCCCGTGCAGCAAGCTAAATGGAATCCAACGGTCAATGAGGGAAAAGGACCCATCACCTGTTGACTTTGACTTTTGACAACGCCACTACAACGGTACAGGTACTCCCTGAGGAAAGTATACGCTGCGAATACGTCCTATTGTTTTCATTCTAACCCGTGCAATCACAGTCTGCCATCATCGTCAATGAGCCAATCAACAAAACAGGAAAAAAAAAATGCAATTATTTGTTTTTCCAGATATATTACATTATAAATATTATTCAGATGTGGGATTAAGGGTATCTGCTTTAGCTATTCAAACAAAGTTTCATTACGCGAAATCAATAGTCCAGTGGTCATGTGGTTATTTAATAATGATTGGATTTTATCACAAATCTAAACCTAATTTTACAGTTTAATCTGTTTTTTTAATTTTTTTCTAAATACAAAATATAAATTTCAATTAAAAAATTTAATACTAATTTAATACTTTTTATTTTAATTCCGGATTAAATTAATTCGCCAAATAAAATATAAATTGTTAAAGGAAAAAAAAAAGCCAGTAACAAAAATTTAGTATCTTGGAATGGTAGATAAAAAGATAATGGAGACTCTTTTCATAAACAAGGTCGTTTAGGGATTAAACGTGTCACTCGAGACTCGAGAGCTGAGGCAAAACGACTTTGATATACGTGTTACAATCTGAAAAGAGGACCCGCCTAGTTAGCTTGCGTGTATAAATATAGCAAGTTAAGGCACAATCATTTCGATGAGGCGCCTTACACAATACCTAAAAATATAAAATATCTAAACGCGAAATTAGAAATATAATATTCAATTTAAAAATTCGAATAACAATTCCTTTAGCGAACATATATGAGAGAGAAGAGACTGAAACTCCAAGATCAAGACTTTACCGAGTCGACCAAACAACAACAACAAAAGCAACAAGAACAAAATCTCTATCGTCTATTCAAAGGTAATTTATCTCCTTTAATTCTTTGTTTTGTTTGATCGAAAGAAAAAAATTGATCTTTTGCCTCGATCTGATTATACAATTCTGTCTTGCTACTTGCAAATTTTTAAATATTTTTTTTGTTTTTTTTTTTTTTTTTGAATTTTTTGAGTAATAGAACTGTAATTTGTAATGCTTACAGCTTTTTTTTCTTAGTTTCCTTTTCAAGTTTTGGTTTTAGTTTTTTTATTTGTAATTTGTTATGGGTTGTTGAAGAGACAGTTAATTTTTTTTATGAATTGTATATTCTAGGGTTTGAAGAATTCAAATCAGATTTTTTACCTTTTTTTATCTTGTAATTACTGATTTTATTTGCTCCTGTTTGATTACTGCATTTTCAGGTCAATAATTGATAGATTTTGTAAAGATGAGCGACAATTTGATGGACAAAGTAAGCGCTTTTGGTGAGCGCCTCAAGATTGGAGGTGCTGAGGTAGGTCGAAAGATGACTGCAGGTATGAGCTCAATGAGTTTCAAGATGAAGGAGTTGTTTCAAGGTCCGAACCAGGCCGATAAACTTGTTGAAGAAGCCACAGCAGAGACTCTTGAAGAGCCTGATTGGGCTTTAAATCTAGATATTTGTGATATGATTAATCATGAAAAAGTTAGTAGCGTTGAATTAATTCGTGGCATAAAGAAGCGGATAATGTTGAAGGATGCTAGGATTCAGTACTTGGCCTTGGTGTTGCTGGAGACTTGTGTTAAGAACTGTGAGAAGGCTTTCTCGGAGGTTGCAGCTGAGAGAGTCCTCGATGAAATGGTGAAGCTGATTGATGATCCTCAAACTGTTGTTAATAATAGGAATAAGGCTCTGACGCTGATTGAAGCATGGGGGGAATCAACTAGTGAGCTGCGCTATTTGCCTGTATATGAAGAAACATACAAGGTACTCATTTTGCTTGCTTCTTAATGGTTTCATTCTTTTGCATTGCTGCCTCAAAAAACTGAGGAAAATAGTGGAGTTCTTTTTTCATGTTTCTTTGATTTTTTTTGTCTTTATTCAAATGAAAAATGATCAGGATAATAGTGCAAATAATAGTCTAAGTTTAGCTTGGTGATGGCCTTTAGTGTTCTTATGCATGAATGGGGGTAGCAGTTGAATTTGCTACTTGAACCCTACTTATATTATATGGGAAAGTCTAAGCATTTTTGCTGATACTAATTACTATATGAACACTAAAGATCTTGAACAAAAAGTATTAATACCATGCAATAAGAAATTCATTTAAGTCTGTTGAAAAAGAATTAAAATTTATCTGTTGAAAAGAAAAATATTTTAAATCTATCTTAGAAAAGGTGTCGGAAGGTACTATAGCTATCTTTGATTGTTGAACTGTTTACTTTGAACATGTGGGCATGGCATGAGGTTTGATTATCTTGCTCATCTCTGAATGAGTTGCACAAGGATGTTGTGTGTCCGTTTATGATATAATGCTGTTTTAGATCTTAGTTTCAAATTTGGCTATTTTTGGCTAACACCAAGTCATGGCTTCTCGAACTCTCCTCTCATTTATCCCCCTATTTTGGGCATTTTCCTTTGCTATTATAGAGTTTAAGATCAAGGGGTATCCGGTTCCCTGGTCGTGACAATGAGAGTTTGGCACCTATCTTTACCCCTCCTCGTACAGTTTCAGCACGAACTCTCCTCTCATTTATCCCCCTATTTTGGGCATTTTCCTTTGCTATTATAGAGTTTAAGATCAAGGGGTATCCGGTTCCCTGGTCGTGACAATGAGAGTTTGGCACCTATCTTTACCCCTCCTCGTACAGTTTCAGCACCGGAAGTGGATGCAAATCTTGCTCAGCAGATTCAGCATGATATGCCCGTGGTAAGCTTTACAGCTGAACAAACTAAGGAAGCATTTAATGTGGCAAGAAATAGCATTGAACTTCTCACAACGGTCTTATCCTCTTCACCCAAACAAGATGCTTTACAGGTACTTTTATGTTGCAAGTTGTTGTTTTCTTATTAATTTAATGTAGATATTCCGGCTTGAATTTGTTGTGAATATTTATTCTTGTTTCTCCTGGTCTTTTTTTCTTTAACTTGGTAAAGAAGATCTTGGATCAACTTGCCAAATCAATTCAATTATTTGCTTGGCATTCAGGCCTGAGTTTTCTTTAGATGTTTAATTCATGCTTAAGTTTACTGACTATATGAGCAATATGTTAGTGCCAACTGCCTGATAAATTGGAAATGACAAGTTTTAGTCGATTCTTGATTTATTTGTGACCCAAACCTCTGCAAATCCAGGAATGAGGCCTTTACAGTTTTATAATCTGTAGCCGCTCAGCTTCATCAAAGACACTCTAGTGTCCTTTATAGCTTGATAACTTGGTCTAATAAGGCTTATTCTAGATGCTAGAAGTTTCTTCTAAATTGGAAATGACAAGTTTTAGTCGATTCTTGATTTATTTGTGACCCAAACCTCTGCAAATCCAGGAATGAGGCCTTTACAGTTTTATAATCTATAGCCGCTCAACTTCATCAAAGACACTCTAGTGTCCTTTATAGCTTGATAACTTGGTCTAATAAGGCTTATTCTAGATGCTAGAAGTTTCTTTTTGTCCTTCAATCAGTTCAGTCTTCTCAACATATATTACCTTTAACACTGAATTAGTGTGCACTCATGTCCTTGCCATGAACTATTATCCAACTTTCTTTTCTAACGCACCTATTATTGTGTGTGTGTGTGTGTGTGTGTGCGCATATTATGAAGGGAAAAGGTGGCATAGATACCACTCCTTTGGCTATCTATATAGGTGCTTCCGAGTTGGGAGGGATTTGATATTTAATTGTTGGCATTGTTGGTATGTAACAATGATTGGGGTTTGGGCATTAGAAGAAAGCAGTGATTTGTCGTGAGACTACTTGATGTTATCTTGAGGAATTCCCTGGAGTTGATTTGATTAAAATATTTCACTGAAGAGAAAAGGGGTTGTTCAACTATTTTTTGCTTGTCTTCATGTAGCTTAGAAACTCTGGTATTTGTATTTGTCAGTTTTTTCATTTTATACATTTTCTGAAGTCTGACAGCTGGCTTGCGTATTTTGTTTGGGCTTGTGGGGAAACAGTTATAGGCTGCTAGTATTGCATGATATATTCATGATATATGTGCTTTTAGTCTCACAGAGTCTTTAGACTGTTTCATTTGGTGCCTTTTACAAGTTTGTAATCTTTTCTGTATCAGCTTTTACTTTGAAATTTGAATTAACATCAAGATTCGAGAGTGGAGGGTCAGTAGGAGTGGAAGGAAGGGAGAGAAACTGATGCTATTGTTTATCTGTTTCTGTCCCATCATATATATATATTTTTTTCCACGTGCTTTAATTCCTAATATGCTCCTCATTATGAATCATAATGCGTTTGATAAGCTCAATTCAGGGTATATGTTTTATTGCAATGCCAGTACTTTAAAAATCAATTTAGCCTGGCCCTGAGCAATAGCATTCTAATAGTGAAATGCCTGAATGGCCAAATATTGATGTTTTCTTTGAAATTATTGCATGGTATTGGGAAACTATAAGGCTAAACATACACATTCTTGTATTATATACCACACGTTTACTCTGTCTTTTCGCTTCTTGTTTGATAAGGAAACTTGCTTTGCCTATAATTTAGTTTTACGGGACATTTGCTTCTTTGAATTTAACTATGGTGAAGTGGAAATTGCATGTCCATTTTTGTTGGTGAAATAAATTTAGTATGTTGCTCCTTGGTAAAAGCAATAATTTTACCCTAGAGTTGATTAATTATATAAATATCAGGAAGCTTTTAAATTATCAAATATTTTTTTCTTGTTGGGAAATCATTTTAGTAGACAAATAATTATCTATTGTTGCGCCATTTCGATGACGGAATGCTTGCTCTCCTTTGGCAGGATGATTTGACAACTACACTCGTACAGCAGTGCCGTAGGTCTCAAACTACCGTTCAGAGAATCATTGAAACAGCAGGAGATAATGAAGCGTTGCTCTTTGAAGCCTTGAATGTGAATGACGAGATCCAGAAAGTTCTCTCCAAGTATGAAGAGCTGAAGAAGCCTTCCACTCTCTCTTCTGAGTCTGAACCTGCTATGATTCCTGTTGCTGTTGAACCTGATGATTCACCTGTACATGGAAAAGAAGATGCCTTGATTAGGAAGCCAGCAGGTTCACGGGGTGGAACACATGGAGGAAGCAACGATGACATGATGGATGATCTTGATGAGATGATATTCGGTAAGAAAAGTGGAGGCACATCTGAAGGTGCACACGAGCCAAAGACACAGCAATCTTCAAAAAATGATCTCATCTCCTTTTGAGATGCTCGGATTGGATAATTCCATATTTATAGGAAACTGAGGCCTTTGACATCAGGCCACCTAGGTGTTCAGATGAATTACATTTTTTTTAAATGGTTTAAACCTTCATAAACAGGACTGATGATTTTTTTTTTTTTTTTTCCTGCATAACACTTGGATTGTTCTCTGGCGATTTCTGTGAGTAGCTTATGTTTCTTGTTGATACGATTGCTTGACATGATATATATATCTATGTTATGGAAACATTCAGTTGTTTGGATTTTATACACACTGCAATGGTACATGACATTGGATTTCTACTACTGCAGCTTCACTGCTCATCATTAGCAAATTTTGGATTTTGATGTTTCTTTATAAGCATAGATTGGGTCAAACTTGTTACTTTCTCATGTATATAAAAAAATTCAAAAAATATAATTTCACACAAAAAATTTGAATTTAGATAAGTAATTATCCCTCGAAATAATTATTAAATCTAACCATAACCATTACTTTTCTTAATATTAAAAATAATTTTTAAAAAAAATCTAACCATAACCATTACTTTTCTTAATATTAAAAATAATTTTTAAAAAAAGAAAAGATTGGTAATAACTTAAATTCTTTTCTTAATCTCATGCAAATATATTATTAATTCTTAATATTATTATTAATAAATTACATTTTAAAAAAATGCAATTGATATTATTATTAATGAATTGCATTTTAAAATGCAAGGTTAATATTATAATATAAGATACTATATATAAATATATATATTTCCATTTTTTCAGTTTACTACAATAGCTACTCTTGTTCTTACTCTCTTCTACGGATCATATCGGCAGGTCCACTGTTTATGCTCATCTCTACAGCAAAACTGGGGAATCCTTGTGAAAGAGTGGTATCGACTTCTGCATTCTTTAATCTTCTTCAAGTTCCACACAAATGGCAAATAAACTACACGTATCACCGTCATCAAGATCCAGATCTCCAATTCTCCTCTGCACTCTCTCCTTCCTTGCTCTCTCTCTTCTCTTCTTTCTCTTCTCTCTTTCCTCTTCTCAGACCCGTAACCTCTCCTCTTTCCCAGACCCAAATCTCACTCTCAAACCGGAAACCTCCTTTGTTACTTCTCTTGAGCACTTCCTCACTGTAAAAGCTTCTAAATCCTCTCCAATTCGAGACGATACGGTTCTTCAAGTGACTGAAGAGGATGTGAAGGAATTGGATGAGAAAATGTTTGTGAAAGAGAGTGAGAGAGTGTACGGGAATGTATACTACCCTGTGGAGTTTCCAATTAGGGTTTATGTATATGAAATGCCGAGGAAATTCACATACGAGTTGCTTTGGCTGTTTAGAAATACTTATAGAGAGACTGGTAATCTTACCTCCAATGGCAGTCCCGTGCATCGATTAATCGAACAAGTATGCTTGTGATTTTATCTTTTTTGCTATTTGTTTTTGGCTTTCTTGATCGAATTATTTAGTGATTCTGTCGTGGGTTTGAGTGCAGCATTCCATTGATTATTGGCTTTGGGCGGATTTGATAGCGCCAGAATCAGAAAGGCTTTTGAAGACTGTCGTGAGAGTTCATAGGCAAGAGGAAGCTGACTTGTTCTACATCCCTTTTTTCACCACAATCAGCTTTTTTTTGTTGGAAAAGCAGCAAAGCAAGGCTCTTTATAGGGTGTGAGTGCACTTCCAATGTTTATTAGTAATGTTGTTTCGTTCTTCTTTTACTTTCTAAAAATTTTCCCCTCTTAATTTGCCGTTTACTTCTTAAGAAAGATTAGATTATTTTGCATAATCGAAATAGGATGTTGAATCCTTAAGATTCTCTTCCTGAATTTTTGATTGCGTTTTTTAAAGTGTTTATATATATTGGTTTTTTCAGTTTTTGTTCTGTTTAGAAAAATGCAAGTAGTTCAGTTATTTCATCTTTTGAGTGTGTCTTGTGCAATTTAAAGTAGAATATTTGTCTCTCCTTGGGCTACTCTCCTTTATTTCTTTGTCAATATAAAAGTTAAATCTTTAACGAGTTAATCTCTTTTTTCCTAATTGGTATTTAACTATGAAATAGGTTTACATTGTAATTGAGATTCTAGTAACGTCATGAACTATAGTAGAATTGAAGATCGAGCTAAATTTAGTAGCCTAAGCTTGTATTGAGGAACTAACTGATATTTGAATTGATGTTTACAGCCTGAAGTTCTGGAAACTAGCCTCTTCTGATTCTATTCTGTTAAAGTTCCTTTTATATGTGTCTAAAGATGTAAACTGCTGGTTTCTGTGGCTGTAGGAAGTTTTGAAGTGGGTGACTGATCAACCTGCATGGAAACGATCTGAAGGGAGGGATCACATTCTTCCTGTTCATCATCCGTGGTCTTTCAAGTCTGTTCGCAGATACATGAAAAATGCTATTTGGTTGCTACCAGATATGGACTCCACGGGAAATTGGTGACTATATGTCTAAAGTTTGAAATTGACTATTTTAACGAGTTCATTAGCTGTTACAGCTATTAATCATCATTTTAAACTCCAGGTACAAGCCAGGACAAGTGTTTCTGGAGAAAGATCTAATTCTTCCATATGTCCCCAATGTTGATTTGTGTGATGCTAAGTGTTTATCTGAAAGTGAATCTAAGAGAACCACACTGATTTTCTTCCGAGGCCGGCTTAAAAGGAATGCTGTAAGATTTTAGTTAACCAATCAGTTTCCATTTATATTCTCCATTCAGTTGGCTGGACTAGAGTAACTACAGTTAGTGTCACTGGAACAAGGTGTATGCCACTTTCCATTAATTGGGATTAAGATTGATGATGATGATAACTGTTGTAGTCATTACTAAAAAAGATATGCAGACAGCAATGCTGTTATGGCTTTGGCCTTGAATACCTGTTCTGTTCATGGTACAGTGGTCAAAACTTTACCACGCCAGGCAGTTAATGAAGAATTCAAGGAAAAGTGAGATTAAATTTAGAACTATATGTTACCCTTCAGTAACTGTTTGTGACATTTAAGAGCTTTTCTAGCCCCAGTAGGCTAATATTTCCTGTAATTCAAGTCAGTTAGCTACTTTGATAATAACTAAGAATTTTAATTGTAGCTTGCCTGAGGTATAATGTATTGGTTAGGTGATATTGGTAATGTTTTCCTTTAGCTTCTCTGCACAAAGACTAAATTGGAGTTTGATCACATGATCTCTTTGCTGCTAATTTAATTCCTTTAACATTTCACTGTTTTGTTCATTCCCCGTCTTTTTTATTCCAAGGAGCAGTCTCTTAGTTGATTGTTTCTACTTTAGGGTGGGAAAATACGTGCTAAGCTTGTAGCAGAACTAAGTGGTGCTGATGGCGTGGTTATAGAGGAGGGGTCAGCTGGAGAGGAAGGGAAAGCAGCAGCTCAGTTTGGCATGCGCAAGTAAATAAATTGTATCTTACCTCTTCTTCTTTTTCTTTTTTTAAATGCATCTTACTTTTCGATTTTCATATAAATCGTGGAAATTGCTTCCTCTGTTATCAGGTCTGTCTTTTGCTTAAGTCCAGCAGGTGACACTCCTTCATCTGCCAGATTATTTGATGCTATTGTTAGTGGGTGTATCCCAGTAATAGTCAGTGATGAGTTGGAGCTCCCATTTGAAGGGATTCTTGATTATCGAAAGGTGTGCATGCATTAACCATATTGTTTTTTCCTTTTGCTCGGTCCATCTTATGGTACCTTGAAACTCAGCTCAATGATTGGGTTAGATGTATTAATCTAATATGTTCTTTTGAGGCTTGTATGATAGATCTGGAAACAGCCTAGTAGTGGTGGAAAAAGTTAGTTGACCTACTTTCTAAAATTGGAAAATGTTTGTTTGACATTTTGAGTTGATTCAATATTTTATAGAGCCTCACCTAGAAGGGTAAAACCTGGAAAATATTGCTTATTGCTGTCTTGAAGTTTCATAGGGATTTTCAAATGGATCAAATTCAAAAGAAAATTTTTGATCCTGCAATCTTTAGCAGAATTTTAACTGGATAGTGGATAGTGTTGTGTTATGGTCTGTTTGCTTGAATATATTAAATTGAGTGAATTTCCTGGTTGGTTACATTATATTTCATGGCAATTAATTTCACTTGATGTTTCCAATGAAGAGAACTTAATAACTCTGTAACATAGTTCTGTCTCTGACTCTTCATGTTTTGGCGTTGGAACCCTACATTTTTATGGATGATTTGTTGAAAAAGCTGTAAAAAGTTTTTTTAGTTTGGTAAATGTCGAAAGAAATGTACTGATCGTTTAAAAATCTATACTTCATAATTTCTGATGCCTCAATCACTTCTTTCGCTTCAATGCAGATAGCTTTATTTGTTTCTTCTTCTGATGCCATACAACCAGGTTGGTTGTTGCAATTCCTAAAAGGCATTAGTCCTGTTCAACTGAGGGATATGCGAAAGAACCTTGCCAAGGTTTGTTACTCTAATTTGGTTTATGTAGCTGCTCTATTTTTGAAGACATCTCTTGTTGACTGATGGCTTTTCTAATTTCTGAAGAAGAGAGAGGGGCGCAAGGTGGGGGTTGAAGGGGAAACAGGAGTGAATTAATGATGGGATTTTATTGTAGAATTAGTGGTCAGGAAAATAGATTTCTGGTTCTGCTTTCAATCACGAAGTGCTACATAATAGATATTGAATATCAGCTCTGTTTCTTTTTGTATTGGGATAATTACATTCCTGGTGTTCTAACTTTTAAATTTTTTCCTTATTTAGTGTTTAAACTTTATTCTTTAACAATCAAGTGTTCAAATGGAATTTTTTTTTTAACTAGGTGCATTTGGCTAGAGATTCTTGCCGAACTACTAAATTGGACTGTTTTAGCTAATAAATACTGCTGTCCCTGAATCTCCATTTATCTCTCTCTGTTACGTAGTTCCTCCTGTTTCCTTGGAAAGAGTTAAAAATTTTCTTCTATTTTCCAAGGAAGAAGAGTGCTGCACATTGATTATATGTGGTAAAAATTTATGTAGATACTTGATTGTAAAAATGATACACTCGAGTAATTGAAAAAGTTTAGACACCAATATTGAAGTTATCCCTTTATTTTTTTACTCCATTGCTTATGAAGTCTCTTTTCTATTATTATTTTGTTTGATTGACCTTTGGACCTTTTAACATGGGATGGTAAGAAAGCTACTCATCAGACTGTTTTTGGGGTTGGGGGTGTGGGGTGGTTGGAGGAAGGTAGGGAGGAGGGTGCATGGAGAGTTAGCTATTTGTTTGAGGCAACTGATTAGTTCATTCTCATTTATTTCAGTACTCAAGGCATTTTCTGTATTCCAGTCCAGCCCAACCCTGGGGTCCAGAAGACTTGGTCTGGAGGATGGTAAGTAACTGTCTCTTTCCTTCACCAAAAATTTTACTTCTATTTTTCTTATACATCTCAATTACATGTGTATGTTGTAATTGTTGAAAACGACATGCATGTTTGTCTGTTTAGAAATTAGCTGATTGCTTGTCTCTTGGCCCAATGACTAAAAATTTCTTAGGTTTTTAATTGCGAATATGTTCCATTTCCCGGTGGCAAATGCTTTTGGTTGCCTGATTTGTATTTCAGCAAGTCTATCTGTTGTTTAGACAAAATCATATGGCAATTATTTCGTTTCCGTATAAAAACATAGGAATATTTTCAATTTTCCCTTTCCAGTACCATTTCTGCTGAACTACAATTGAGTGATCAACTAATCTATATCTGTTTACAAATCTGTTTTCCGTAGAATGATGTTTCTAAATATGTTGCTCTAATGTAATATTAGTGGAAATTTGTTCAAAACGGATTCGTGTTTGTCACTAATTACTATCAGAAGTGATGTTTCATATTGTGTATCTGTTGTCCAATAAACAGATGGCTGGTAAATTGGTAAACATCAAGCTTCACACACGGAGATCGCAGCGCTTGGTGAAAGAGTCGAGGAGCATATGTACTTGTGAATGTAAACGCACAAACTTTACAGGTCCAAGTTCCGTATAATCACCCTTATTTGAAATCATTTTTTATGTTGTAGGTATAAATCTTTTAGTTAAAATATAAATTTTCACAGCTCTGCCATTGGTTTTCTGAATTCCAACTGAGGTTAAATCATAAACGGTTAATGTTTCTTCATTTCCGATAGCCATTCTATCCCCTTTCCCTCACCTGCCACCGGAAACACGTAGCTGTTATTCATTATGTATCTGAATATTACTGATTAATAGATGTATTATCTAGGAGAGTTGCTGCATTTGGTCCATGGAGGCAGCTTATATTATGCAGCAAATTCATCTGCTAAAGGAAATTTTTTTTTTTTTTTTTTTTTTTTTTACACGTTAGCTGTTATTCATTTACTGTGTATCTGAATATTACTGCTTAATAGATGTATTATCTGGAGAGTATGCTGCATTCAATGGTCAATGGAGGCAGCTACGCATTCTATATATTATCGCGAAAATTCTAATCTGCTATAGGATTTTTTTATATTTTATTATATAATATTGAAATATAGAATATTTATGGCTCAATGAATTTTTTTTAGTGTGATGTGTCGTTATATTAAGGGCATAAGTTGAGTTGATTCTACTCAATATCGGTAACTTCGTAAAGACATTCTTCTTTGGGATATTAAGGACAGTTGGTAGGCATTAGTTATAATATAATATAATTATTCTCTAATATTCTAAAATTATAGAAGAAATAAAATTAATTAAAAGACTCAAGTATATGTCATGTTCGCCTTGTCGGTCATAACAGATATGTAATCAAGAGAAGCCTAAATTTTTAGAAAAAATAAAAATTTTTTAATTTGATACCCAATTAAGTCTAAACATTATTTGTGTCGTCCACCTCTTTTTCGAAATGGTTCTCCGTGAGTACATCCGAGCGATCAGGACCGGCATTATAGGTAAATGTGTTTGTCATTAATTTACTAAGTTAACTTCATTGACCCTGTATCATTAATAAAACCATGCACAAGAAGCATTCAATTCAGGAAGAGTCTGAATGGAGAGAGCCGTATTTAAAACTGTCGTTATTTTAAAAAGTTATAGGAATAAATTGATCAAATAGCTCAATGAACACAACTTGCGGCCGTTGCAGTCCAAGCCGCTGCTTTTCGTTTCAGCGGTGGCAATTCAACCCTAAAAAGCAAAAAAAATGCGAAAGACACCAATTATCTCCATACCTCTCTTTGAATACGCTTCGCATCACTGCCTCTCCTCTCTCGCCTATCCGCGCTCGCGATTGTCAACGCGTCTAAACGCTCGCTCGCGCGGCTCGGCGGACAGCACGTGCTTCGATCATCAAAACACATCCACACTACACCGTGATTGTTGGGGCTTCACGCGGTCATTGCGGGCCATTCATCTACAAATCAAACGTGCCCATCATAATCGAAATATCCTATTGCCACGATACGCACAGTGTCTTTTTTCTTTTTTTTTTTTTTGTACTATGCGGCCTTAGGAACAGTTAACTACTAACCTTGGTTACTACTAACTTAATAGCTAGTATACAACTTTCACTTCACATTCAGGCTTCCATCTCACCAGTAATAAAATATTAACCTTTATTATTAAGTCTGTAAGAATTAATCTTGATTAAATGTTGTTTTTTATCTTTCAGAGATCAACCTTACCTTCGTCTGCTCTTTCTTTAATTTATATGTGGAATAATGAAAAACTTTTTTATGTTTGAAACAAGAGACTTAAAATACAGATGCAAGCCAAATTTTATATTCTAATCATATGTTTTCTCAGCATACACCAATCCAATCATTTCTTTTTCTTTCATTCTTAAGCAGTATTTTTTGATGGATTACCCTCAACTCTTTATCCCTTTTTCTTCTCTTTGCATTCTATTTTTTACTTTATTATTTTTTCGGCTCATTTATTTAGTAGGAAAATATACTCTAATAAATAAATAATAGTAATTTTATTAAATTTATTTATTACACTTCCCTCTAGAAACCAACTAATTTTCACTGAGATTCAAGCAACTGTTTAAGCCAACTTTTTCTTTTGGATTTCTCTTTTATCCCATTTAAATTTACCCTAATATATGTATATTATCATCTTCTCATATCAATGCATGGTTTTAATATTTTTTAATTATTTGTGTGTTTTTGTAAGGGGGGGTTCTTTTTTTTTTCAAATTAAAAGGGGGTTTTCAATATTTTGTTGGAATGAGGATACAAACAGTTGTTAAATAATTGAAAGTTTATGCTTTGCCTAGTGGAGAGAATATTCTTTTTTTTTTTTCCTTTATGTGAGAAAGTTGTATGAAAATATAGAAGATTGTTTCATTTAATCTGTCAACAGATGTGTCTCGTGCCTTTTTGATTATTGAAATACTTGTAAATATTGCGTGAGATTTTTCTTATTATTCGTACAAAGTCCATATGAGGATTTCTTTCAATGGCAATCAACTTGGAAAATTTGTGGCCTTTTTCTATTTAAAATTTTATTTTAATCATGTGTCATTACCTATTTATTGAGTACCCCTCTTTTTTTTTAATGGAAATTGATGTAAAAAATTGCATTTTCTCTTTAAAAATTGATTCAACTTAAGTATTCTTTTATAACTTTGTTATCTGCACTATCTTTGAGAATGTCCCACACTAAAAGTTTCACGGACGACTAAACCCAGAAAGAATGAGAAAATATACGCATGGTTTCCCAAATTTTTTCAAATTAGGTGCCAAAAAAGTTGATTCTTATTAAAAGAACAGCCTTAAATGGAAACTTTATTCAGATAAAAGAACGGAGGAGAGGAAAGTACTAATTTTGAACGTATATTTGGGTACCATGATGCACATTAGTCATTTAAATAAATGCTTAAGAAGGAGAGATTATAATCAACAAAATTACTTATAAACTTCATTTTCATGCGGAAAATATTACATTTGAACATCTTTATAGTTATTGTTTTTAATCTATCAATTAGGATTTTTATGAATTGTCTGTATTTATAATTTTGACCTCCTTTTTAGGGCCCTAAAAACTGAAATTGAGGGATTTAATTTTCTAGTTCTTTTACATCAAAAAGATAAATTTTAAACAATGGAACAAGAAATTGCCTTGATTTACACACAGGAATTGAAGTTTTTGCGGCAAAACAAGATATTAAAATGGTAATTACTCCATCTTTGTCCCAAATATTAAAATCGTTTAAAAATTTTTTCACAAGATTAGAACATCAATTCAATTTTTCCTAAATTACTAATAAAATAGTGTAAATTGATCAGAATTTATCATTCTATCGCAAACTAATAGCTACTTATTGAAAGTGTTTTTGTATTCTATGTAAATATGACATGTGAACATATGAAACAAATTATGTATCATTTATTTTACTCCCTTCAACAATACCAGAACAATTTATATTTTGGGACAATTAATCACTCAAAAATGAATTATACTTGTGTGGGATTGAGATGAGTAAATATAATGGATTTACGGATTGTTTAGATTAGAAAGGATCGGTTAGGCCTAAAACAAAAGATAAGTATTGAAGATCAAATTATTCAACACAATAGATCGTGCCTATCTATAACTTCTCATTGTGGATCCTTCTGATTAAAGCGAGTGTATAATCTAGACAAAAAGTCACCGTTGACCAAGTATGTAGTAGTTCGTATTCCTTATCGTTGGTACATTGAAGAGAGGCTGTCAATCCGATCCAATTTTGAATGGACACGGTCGTTTACCGTCTTGTTTTTGTACCTCAATAGACAATAATCTCCTCCATTGAAGCTTGTCAAAATTTTGTTGCGGCCTTTTCTCATTATGTTTTTAAGGTTCAATGTCTCTTTACTCCTCCGTCTAAGATAAACTAATATCAGTATGCATTAATTTGAACCAAGTTGAATTGTTACTGATCTACATCATTAATGTGTTTTAGCTTAAAACTGCAGGGGGAATTTACCTTTATTATTTATTGAGATAGATTTATAGGCAATAATGGATTAAATGAGATTTAATTAATAAAAATATTTTTAATTGTAATTATTTTGATTCAGCTACTTACTATAGGTGCTAACATATAAGTAGAGAATCATTACTAGTAGATAATTAAGTAGAAGTTTTTTGGTGTACGCCTCTAATGATCTGTTGCAACTATTGAAAAATTAAACGATGAATGACACTTTAAATTGAGATTCTTTCCTAATAATTTTGTTTCTATTATTTGATATTTTGTATATCAGATAATATATTATTTATTGTTATACAAATTAATATTTAATATGTTTTTATGGGTTATTTAAATTGAGAGATTTAAGCAATGTTAATTTATACACTTATTCTGCGTTTATATTTGTAACTCTTAGAGACAAACAAAAATTGAACTAAGAAAAATATATGGGATTAGAGACGATAAAATTTAACTATGGTTTACATGGGATGCTTTTACGAAGTTTTACTACCTCTAATTGAATAAAATATTGGACGGTTTGAGATGATTTAGAAGTCTGACATTCTCCCGCGGAGTCTCGTGCACGCTAATCTAGGATAATTAATCATATCATCTTGTTGCTGTTTTTATAGAATTTTTTTAAGAGTATCAAAACCTAATGTTTTAGTGAAGTTTATTGACAATTACTCCAAATAGAAAAATAAATAAATTTACAAATTCATTTTGGGATGGTTCGTGGTAGGTAGAATGACCTCGGTGTAAACACACACTGTACTCAGCGGTGAATACAGGACATATACCAGCGTGTTAAGTATTTTCAGCTCAGAGGTTAAGTTGTTCAGCTATTATACTGTTATGAGTTCTGACCGTTGATCTGCACGCTTCTTAACGAAGTTGCTAATTTAGTTTGGTTGCAAAATATCATAAGGCAATACTTGTATTTTGAAGGAGACGTATGAAGGAACTGGCTTACCACGTTCAGAAGACGACAGGCACTCGATAAATTTCATTCACGCGCTTTCCGGCATTTGGATTGTAGTTGGCAATTCACTGTAATAATGTCAGAAAAGTAATGTGTTGCATCTGTGAATTCAAACCAAACGGATAAGGACAATATAGGAATTAAGTTCCATTTACTTTTTATTTCATTGTTTTTCTTTTTTGCCCATTTTCTGTATTCGTTATACATACTTGAATTTTTCGATTCTTTAAAATGATACAAGAATTGACCGATAAGTTTACATAAGATTAAATTGTGTCCAATTAAATTTTTTTTATTATAATTTTTCTTTATTTGATTTTTATAAAATCATTTAAAGATTTTTTATTTTCCGGATTCTAAAAATGTATCTTCATTTTTATATATTTCTTTATGATTTTTATT